TCAAGCTGAGGTGCTGGCCCCACTCACCCAGAACAGTGGGGACCCTGTGGTGCCCGACACCTTCACCCTGCTGTTTGCCCTGGACCCTCGTCCTCTGTGGGCAGCTGCACCTGGAGGAGCAGTCTCACTTCCTGTGCCAGGTTCCCTGGGGACAGGCCCTCCCGGAGGACAGGAGCCTGCCAGGCCCTAGAGCAGTCTGCTAACCAGCCTTTGTGAGAGCTGCTCTCAGCTGAGACTGCCCTCAGGCTCCCTCTCTCCCCAGGCCTCTGAGTCCCTGCCACCGAGCTCTGCCAGTGGGTCCATACCAGGGTCATCATGTTTGACTCTCCCAAGCACTACCAACCGGTGGAAGAGCCCGAGTGCCTCAGTGAGTCACAGGGGTCAGTGTGTGGGCAGCTTCTCTGTGCTGTGTAGGACGAGGCCGCCTCTCCGAGGCCCTCTCATGTCCTCTCCTCCTTCCATCTTCTTCCTTCTCTTGTCTGATCCTAGGCTGTGACATAGAGGAGCTTTCTGATCCGGAAACGCTGAATCCTTCTCAGGATGCTGAGGGAGGCTCCGCATCACCCACCATCATGGCTCCCAGCACTGTGAGCCCCTCTGAGGCGGACTCCAGTGGCGATGAAGAGTCGGGTCCATTCCCCGTGCAGGCCCTGCCCCCCACTGGGTCCTTGGTGGGTCATACCATAAGTAGAAAGAAGGCTAATCTGGTGTTGTTCCTGTTACTTAAGTATCTAAGTGAGGAACTGACCACCGAGGCAGAAATGCTGCAGGTTGCCTTCCAAGGTTATGAGGAGTACTTCCCTGAGGCTTTCAAGGAGATCACTCGGTATTTGTACCTGGTCTTTGGCATTGAAGTGCAGAAAGTGGCCCCCACCAGCCTCTGCTATGCCCTTATGCCTGCCCTGGGCTTCACCTATGATGGGACGGGAGACCATGGCCTAAGCTTCCCCAAGACCATCCTCCTGATACTCGTCCTGAGTGTCATCTTCCTTCAGGGCAACCGTGCCAGTGAGGAGGTCATCTGGAATGTGCTGGAAGGGATAGGGGTGCGTGCTGGGGAGGAGCACATCATCTATGGGGAGCCCAGGAAGTTCATCACCGAGGATTTGGTGTTGGAGCGTTACCTGGTGTACCAGCAGGTGCCTAACAGTGATCCTGCTCACTACGAGTTCATGTGGGGCCCAAGGGCCCACGTTGAAACCAGCAAGATGGCCATCCTGGAATTTCTGGCCAGGGTCGAAGGTACCACCCCCAGCTCCTTTGGTTTCTGGTATGAGGAGGCTTTGAGAGAGGAAGAGGAGAGATTCCCCTCCCAGACCCATTAGGCTGGTGATGACCAGGGCCAGGGCCCCTCCCAGGCCCGCATCCAGCAGCTTCTCCTGCCCCCTGCAATTTGTGAGGCAGATTCTGCCACCTGCATGTGAAAAGAGCCACTTTTCTACATGAAATGTGTAACGTGTTTGCACTTCTGTTCAGTGTGAGCGACTTGCAGATTTGTTCTTTTGCGATATTTTCTCACATGTTGTTCCTTTCAGTAGATTTATGTAACTTCCAACTTCAAGGTTTTAAGGTGTGGCATTGGCTGCACGTATATTTATAATATATTAAGAGTTTTGCTGTTGAACAAGTTGTAAAATCTTCCGTCCTAGTTTGAGATCTAGAACAAGATCACTTGTCACTGGAATAAAAGCTTTCTTGGAAATGTGAAGGAAGTCCTGCGTAAATGATGTGGGGACCCTAAACAAGGGGGAAAGTTCATTCTTACCTTTATCTCTTTTACTTCGTTGCTCTGTAAAATTTAACAAAAATATGCCTGTATGTGCTTCGCTTGTTCACCAATATTGGGGAAATTCAGTCTCCATGAAGCATCCCTTTGCCACCTGGTGCATTGACCCCAAACGTGCAGTGAGCAAGTGCTCCTTGGAAGGCCCAGAGTCAGGCGTCTACCTGAGTGTGAGAAGGAGGCTGAGCAGCGCTCGCCCTTCCCACGGGATGCTGGGGTCTGGAGCAGCAGCCATGACAGGGAGAGGGGAGACATCCTCTCCTCCAGGGCCTGAAGCACCAGGGAAAGGGTGAGGGGAGCAGCCCGGGAATGTGAGCAGAGTAGTTCCGAGCCTGGGGAAGCTGCAGCTCCTTCTGCGGGAAGCATTCCAGTGAAACTGCGTGGTAGCCTGGGTCACACACTCAGATGAGGAATTTGGGACTAAAAAGGGAAGACTGTTGGCAGCAGTGTTTTGTGGCTCCCAGATAAAGCAGAAAAGAAGCGCTATCTGGCGAAGATATGAGACGCGTCCTGAGCTCAGTGCAGCTGGACACAAAACAAGGACTAGGTCACGTATGCCCAGCAATGGAGAGGAGTTCCAGGGAGACTGGGGGCACACGTGGTATTTCTTTGAAGCCTTGCCCAGAAAGCTCCAGAGGGACACAATTTCCCTGCCTGGCAGGGCCAGAGCAGTGTCCACTGGAGCATTAAAATGAGGTGACTCGGAGCTGTTGGACAGCTCAACACATGGGTGGGTTTTGGGTGGGGAGGAGCTGAATGAAAACGGGGGTTTGACTGATGGGAAAAGAAGTAACTCAGAGGGGGAGAGCTGGTCCCTCACTCATTCTAGGAGGCTGAGCTGCATCCCCCGGGGAAGACTCCTGCACACACTGACTTTGTCACATGTCCTCTAAGTGCGAGGAGTTTTCCAATTTGACTCCTGAAATTTCCCATTTTGGCCGATTAACCCCTGCATGTCCTGTAGAGCTGCATAGTCTCTGATATGTCCTGCAGAGCAGTGACAAGTGCTCGGGGTGGATCCAGTCCTGTTCGAAACAGCAGCCACCTGCCGTTCAGTGTGGTCACGGCTCCAGCCAGGCACTGGGCTGGGTGCTTTCC